AGATCAGTCTAGTGTGAGTGATGAGAGTATATCATCGACGATGCCCCTTGTTCGGATGATAGTTTTATTTCAAATTACACGGAAGTCTATGAACAATCTGCTTGGTGTTCCTGTGACACTTGTCCCATGATTTGCCAGTGCAGCCCCATGAATACATGGACAAAAATGTTTCCACCACCACCCTACGAACTAAAGATTGCATACTCCAGCATCTATACTTTGAATAATTTGCGTGCCGCACAGTGCAGTACTGGAAACAGCATTTATTAGACAGTTAGACAAAAAACAAAACAAAATGCCTGTCTCGATCAATCACACATCCATAATGTTTGTATGTTGATACGCCTGTAAATAACATTAACGTAAAAGTCGAAACAACCTAGACTAGAAGTCAATTCACCAGTCCAGCCAACTATGGCTCCCTAAGTTGCTTATATTTAATCAGATACTATTTCGTCATCATGCTTTGTTACCTTACCTGTTTATACCTCATGAGGGCGTTTTTTTTTATGGCAAGATGGCGCAAGCGGAAGTCCTTCGCAGGTTTATGGTTTCTCATATTTAAATCATCATACCTTTGAAGATAATCATTTTTTTTAAATTTTTTTTTCAAATTTATAATCAATATATATAACTTGACAAATACAAACACCAAAATAGGCTCTATTTAGTTCCCCTTTAAAAAACAATATGAACTAAACTCACCAGATGGAAGAGATTTTTGCGGACTTGACGTAACATTCCTGGAAACGTAGGTCTCAGTAAATCCTGCACCGATCTTAACCAGTGGTTATATTTTTTATCAGTCTCTAAGTCATTTATATACTGTGGAAATAAATTCAGAGATAGCATAATACGATTAGTTTGGAAGTAGGACTAGGAGATGTAAAACATTAATGATCACGTCACAATGATTAACCATAACAACAATGATACATCTTTGTTAAAGTTGTATTGTACACAATATTTTGTTGAATATATATAAAGTAATGTACACACAAAAAATTCTTACAGTATTCGCAAGATATTTGGGTCGAAGCATTTTCTGAGATTCTTTTGGGTAGTTGTTAACATCTTAGGTTGTCACCAAGGCATTGAATCACATGTGGGATTTTCAGAACTACATGTATGATTGGAAGATCATATCACAAATCAAAATTTGATTTCAAGCAATCCTATTAATATTGCTACTTAATATATGCACCCACGATAGCTTGCAAACTCCAAAACTTTCAGATTTGTTTGTTCACCTAGGTGGCTTTCAACAAAAGATTACAATTCAAAAACCAATGTATGTTGATTCATGTGTACAGAGCACCAAATTACCAGAGGTCCCGAGGGTTCATGTGTTGGATTTATAGTCCAATAGATTGTGACAGCAAGGTTCTGTAAAACGCTTTATTTTCACTGATGACAATTTTCATAACTTCAAGATTTTATGGCATTCATGTACCGGGGTAGAAACAATGTCAGGAATGTCACTGACATAGGACACCAGAAAAATGTTCACTGCTACAAAATTTCTCACTGAAAATGCGTCTATCACAAAATTAAAACAGTTTACTGTACAAGATAATAACTGACCTCCACTGCATGATCTCGAACATCAATTGCAAAGGAATCTTCATTGGATTTAGCAGAAATCTGCATTAATGCCTTGGTATTCTCTGCCTATAAGAAATGAAGTGAAATGATCATTGGTCTACCTCTCCAGCTAAAATAAAAATATTCTTCAGTGACAAACATGGTAATTGTAAAAAACATTACACTTACGGATAGTCCCAACAAACTCAGTCCTTCCATCAGTCTTGCTTCACCTCGAAATAAATCAAGCAACCTGAGATGAGAATGAAAATATATAATATTTTGAAACAGAATTACACTACAATTCGCAATCCATTTAAGGAGGGGGCATAATGTTTTTCATTAAAACATTTTGGGGTGGAATGGGTGTTGGAATGGCAAATGCTGGAAAGATGAAATTATCTATAGTGTATCAGGCTCCAAATTTGATGAGTTCTTTGTGCTCCATCAGGATGGACATAAAAATTAACCTTATTATAATATATGCTATTGTAGAAAGGCTCACCCATAGAGAGCGCTTTATTAAATCTTGTTTCTCAGTCTTCTGTGACCATATTGTTTTTTCTCTAAGAAACTGGCATCCAAGAATGCCAATCTTTTAAACTGACAGATATGTTTTACTTGTGATTTCTTGGTTTCAACTTTAAATTACGTCTCCTTTATTCAAATCTAATATTACGGGATATGGGGCTTTAAGATGAGGTTTAAGACCAAAAACAGTGCATAGCAAAACAAAACTTTATATAATAAAATCACAATGTTGGTTTAATCAAAGATATACATGTAATTTATGTCAGTTTTTGTGTTAAATTATCCTTACTTGCCACTGATGTTTAGTTATATGTGTGAATATAGGCTACTCACATGAATGGATCAGCTATATCTGTATCAATCTGTAATCCATTAATTAATATCATAGCCTCACCAGGTGAGAGACCAAGATGTCTTCCTGCATGCTGTAAAGACACAAATCACTACTCAGTCAATCTACAATTGCTTTCTAAGTTATTTCTCCAAAAGAAAGAAATCAATCATTCAACTTAAACCTAAACACTAACTCCCTTTATTCTCTTCAATAGAAATGCATATAAACCAAAAATTGTATGTATTGTATCATGAATCATTAAAATGTCTTCTTTTCCTTATATAAATGCTTGTAAATAAATAGAGCAAATATGACATACATTCTGTTTGTGGAATCGTCCTTAAAACATATTTGATTTTTTATTCTAAATTATTTTTGTGTAAGGTTTCCTGACGTTGAAAGTCTTTGTCATCTCTTCTGATCGTTATGTGAATTGCAAGTACTGATATGGTACATATAGTGATTTTACCAACAAAATCTGAATTTCAATGTAACTGGACGACAATCATGCTATCATGCCAATCTACTGCATTATCCTGATGCCAACAAGGCCCAGCCAAACACAAGCACCTGCAGAGTTTAACCATGGGTCCTCCAAAGTCGCATCTGTTAGTGATTGAACCTTGGCCAGTGAAATAGCAAGATAAAAACTAAAAACACGTAGTTGCAATTGAAAGAAGACAGTATCTGATATAATAAAAATTAAGCACAATGAATAATTGATGAAAGCAACGCATATGACAAAGATAAACTTACATCTTGATTTTTACGTATTTCATCTTTGATTTCTTTTTTCGCATGTGTTTTTACAAGTGACCTGGCCTTGGTTGGAAAATTCTGACTGACATCCCTCATAACTCTCAATGCATCATCCGTTGATGAAGACAGTACTCTTTGTGCAGCCTGGACACTTATTTCTACATTATACAAAAAAAAAGGAAAAAAATATCGGCTCAAAATAATATTAGTGATACAGCGAGCTATTTACTTATAAAGTTATATATACTATAAAGTTGGGTATTTTCAAAAGTTATTAATGATTAATAAAAATAAACTTTATTAATTGGCCAGAGTACGAACCATTACTGCCTAAACCTAATTTGCTAAATGGCCATACCTTGTAACTGCCATATTTTCAATGGTGCTGTTGAGAGACTGCTATCTATAAGATGAGTGCGAAACTGCTTCAAATTGTCCTCAAGGTCTGGATATTTTTTTCTGTAAAAAAAAACAAAGCAAAATAGGATATAGCTTTCTAGGTGTCATCCTTAAAAATTATAAAATACACAAGTATGGTAATACCTAGCTATGCTCTTGCTAACTATTTTCCAATCTGAAATTTTATTTAGATTTGGCTACAATAAATTATTTCAGTAAATTCAACCTATGAATTATTCTGTGATTCACAGAGAAGTAAATTAAACATCAGGAAAACATAATACTTGATAAAGTAGCGCATTTTAATTTCATTCTCCTTATTTGTTAAGTGGCATAAGAAGTATATTAGCTAATGAGACAAAAACTATTTTATCCTCGGCTGAAGCCCAGACAAGAACTTGCAAGATAAAGGTAGAAGGGTATAATAGCATAGTATGATCAAGCCCCAGTTTGAACGAGGTCTAGCATGAGAGAAAAAACCATCATCCGCCAGAAACTAAGACAGTTAATTAAAATTTGTTCTACTGAGCATGTTACTGCACATATATTCAAACCATTAAGAGACAGAACCTGCCATTGGATATGATGAAAAACTATTATTATCCTGGAAACTCAGTAAATTATATGTAAATTTTTGAAATGTTTTCGTAATATTAGATGACTTTTTCATCCCATGTCAACTAGTGGAATGTTGAAACCAGTGAAAAATGCCAATTTTGACCATTTTCTATGACATTTGAAACTCTTATATCTTAAAAAATCTTTTGGTGACCCCTTTGTTTTCATTTTTGGTTACCTAATGGTGTTGAAGAGCATGACATCAAATTTTGAATTCAGCTTGAACCCCTTAATGAGCACTGAGAAAAGAAGCAGCACACTTGTCCTAGTTTTTAGTGTCCCTTTCAATAGGATACCACATATTTGGAGTGTTCTGGGCAAAATATACTATGTAAAAATACTTCTAATCTGAACCCAATAACCACTGTACAAAGCCCAGTTAGATTGAATTCGCATGGAATCAGATTATTATCTCATATCTATGTTGCATATCCATATCTTATAAATAGGTAATAAATTGACATGCACCTGAGTGTGGAAAATACAAATCCTTGCACATCATCCTCTCCTTCAGGACTGAACTCATCTATATTGTCTTCTTCTTCAGTTACTTGACTGTCATCAACAGCTTTATATTCTGTACTCTTAATAGCTAACTCAACACCATAGCCAGATAGACGTACTTTATGATCTGGTTGCTCCTATGGAAAGACTAAGATTATTAGCAATGCACTAAAGAATGGTAGTTTCAATAAGTACACTCCTTTCAATCATTCTTCATCGTTAGAGTAAAGGGCTGGTATTTCAAACATTATAGAACTGGAATTGGAGACCCATGAGTTTGTTGTAACGAGGACAGGGAGTGGCAAATCACGAAAATTGTGCAACATTTCAACTCTTGAATCAGTCGAGTAGAGTTTCTGAGATTTTCTTTCACAGTTGACAGTTTTATTACTTTGTAAAAACATGATCGTCATAAATATTTGCCACTTTGCTGACGAAGTATGCCACAAACAGCCTGCAATGTTGGCATGAAAAATTGTGGAAAAATGGGTGAAAAAATGCAGCACCGATTTTGGGGGTTTGGCAAAAAACAATTTGGCAAAACTGGAACAATTTTGAAGTAACTGTGCTACATGTCGCCATTTCCAACATTCTGTTTTTTTTAGCTTACCGCACAATGTTACACAGCGTCTGATTGGGCGCCTTTGCAACAGGCGCATCCAATCAAACTTGGCCATTTGTTTAACAAAAAATACACGTTTACCCAGGCTGATCCAACACAGGAGTCGGCAATGAATTAAGCTGCAAACTTGCTTACCAAACACTATGTCAACTGTAAACCTGATTAAACCAAGCCCTGTGTCAACTGGAATCTGTCTAAACAGAACAGCTTTTCCTGTCAAAAGACTTGCTTTAATACAAAAACTCTAAACTTTTTGCACTCGGTTAAGGCTCTACTGTACTTTGACTACCAAACATATTTTAATTTCATACATTATGGTAATAATTTGAAAAGTACATACCTTAACATAATGTCTGAGAATGTAAGTAATTTCTCCTCTGGTTATGAGATTCTTCAGATATTGATGAAAGATGGGAAAACTTGAACCAGGTTGTCCAAAATTACCATACAAAACAACTATTATAGGCCCATTAGAACCAGGATACGAATGGTCTAGGTTGAATATATGGGGTTTTTGCCTGCAGTAACAAAATAAGGAAACAAAAAATTTTAATATAGAAAACATTTCTTGTATTAAAAAAATATTAACATGCTTTTTAATAAACTTTGATCTGAAAATAAAACCTGATCTCGCGAGTAGCATTCTACATTAAGACCTGTAGCCAAATAGAAAGATAAATAAAAAGTTGGATCAAATTTTATGCTTTATAGAAAATGGTGTAGATCAAAGGAAAGTAGGTCAGTTCATTGGGTAATACATGCCTATTATTAGCTGTGGATATGAGTGTTTTTATTTGATCTATCCTACAGGTCATTGCACCATGAATCTCTACAAAACAATCGCAATCATCTGGTGGTGGTAAATCCTTTACAATCTATAATAGAAAAGTCATTCAGTAAAGGTAAATGGTTAATATGGTCAGCATGTACTTCAAAACAGTTGTATCATTCAGCAGACTAACAATGCTAAGACAAGTACAATAAAAAGACAAGACACATTGTTTATGTTTAAAACAAGCCCTGCCTGTACCACACTTATAAATTTAGAAATACCAGTGAAACTATTGAGATATTGTATTCACATAGATTTAATTGAAAGTAAGTGGAAAAGTTAAACTGAACATTGCAAGCTAATATACACATAAACTTAGAGATTACCCAGGGTATTCAAATATTACAGAATGAATTGTAGTAATATTTCAAAGAGTTAATAACATTAAAGAATGTGTTAATATGAACAACATACACAAATAGCCTAGATTTAATATTTTTGTGGCCAGGGGACAATTCAAGACACTGAGTGTCTATTAAATCGTACATACAGTGCATTTTGCCTTACAAATCTTTGTTTGTGATTACTTGACAGGACAAGAATGTGCAGGTCAAACACGACCACATGCTAACCCATATTCCAAGGTTCCCCTGAATGAATCTCGGCCAGCAGCATAGGCTTCACCATTGAGACTGTGTCACACTCACCCAGGTACAAAGGCATTGGCCTCACTATTGGTACAACACTAACTTCATTATTGAGTCAGTGGAACACTCACTCTGGATACAGTGACATTAAGTATGTGGCATACCCATCCAGGATATGCGTCAATCCCATTTGGTGTTCAACAACAGGCACCATAGGATATGAACTCAGGACCTGCACAGAGTGCATGTGACATGAAAAGAAATTAACTAATCTAAATAGAGCAATGTCTTACCTGGTTAAACATTTCTATTTTGGGTGAGTTAGATCTTATCGATAATGAAAATTTCATTAATTTCACCCCCATTGGAGTAAGTAGCTGTTGTGCATTTCTAATTCCTAAATGAAACAGCTCTTCATCTTGAGAGTCTGAAATACAAGCACATATTGTAGATCAGTCCACTGTCCTAACAGGTGATTTTTTCTCCCTTTCTTGTATTTCAATTTTCAACAAAATTCTCTGAAAAGTATTCAAGAAAATTGACATTTGGTGTTTTCATTGTTAATTAATAACAACATCATAACATTTACATGAACAGTCACAATGTCTAGATGTTGAAACATGCGAAAATAGACAACAGCTGAATTTTCAGCACTCTATATATATGCAAGCAAATAATGTTTAGCAATGTCCATTTCAACTCAAAATTTTAAGTTCAAAAAAAACATTCCAGAGTATAAACTACAACCAACTAATGGCCACAGCAAAAAAATATTTAAATTTGTTTGCACATATCAAAACAAGGTCAAGTAACCAAATATCATCTGTCAGGTTGTTTTCCCACCAGAGTAAATATGAATACAATTTTATATCATAATTGTAAGCAATATTGAGTCCAGGAGTGTTGACTAATTGGGATTGAAAGTGCCTAGTCAAAACAAACACTCAGGCTGCTGACAATGTTTCAGGAATATTGAAATGTTGCAAGAAAGTTTGATCAGTTTGGCACACTAGATGTAATACATGTTACTGATGCACCAACAATTTTTCAGTTGATACTTACCTGCACCGAGTGCTCTTGCTAAATCTATTGATGATATAGTGTCTACAAAATTCCAAAAATAGTCGTTACTTTCTTCAGCTAAGAATTCACTCATTTCTAATAAATATGGAGTGTTCCACCATTTGGATTCTAAAATAGCGGTAACTGACTTGGATTTGACAGGACTACAAGTAGATTGCAACACAGCTACAATAATAATTAGCAGCAGAGCACCCATAACCTGGAGAAAGAAACAAACATGTATATAATTATTCAAAAATCTTAAAGCAAAATTAAAAAAGTTCTACCTTTCATCTATATCATATCAAACATCCATCAACCATTCTACCTGTTACCTAGAATTTATTCATTTCACAATTACTCCAAGGCAATAAAAGATCATTTACTTAAAGCGACAATAACTGTGATTTTCAACAGGTTTTTGGTTAAATATAACCATATAAAGATGATCAAATTTTACCAAAATATTTTTTTAAACACAATTATATAGACAAAGTAACCCTACACAAGGCTAATGTCCCATAAAATGTGATGTGAAAACTATGGGTTGAGTAATCGCCATTTTGTGGAAATCAGTCACAATAGGAACTGTGGAGAGAGGTTCTTTTGACAAAACTGGATTTCAATAGATGGTGTTCTCTAGACCCAGACACAACCCTAAAGCCATCTTTTTCCACTTTCCACAAGTGATTTAATGCACAATGCCCGTTTATAGCATATACATGTATGATATGCTTTCAGCATCCACATTTCAGTGATGGCTGTTAAAAATTGACACTAATGTTTTATTATAAATATAATAATGAGAGAGAAAAGATTGATAGTTACAGTAATTGTTGCTTTAAAACAAGTTGGGGTCACCAGTTTATTTTTTGAGAAAATTATTGTTGTATTTTAGAGAATGGTGACTATTTTGTCCATATTACAATGTCTTTATTATTAGGTCTTATTACCGGAATGTCATATCTCATGATGTGGTACTTTTTCATGATAGTTTTATGTTACAATTTTGCATGTGCTACATTGTCACAGATTGCCAAGTTTCACAAGTGACTAATCAAAATCGACACTAAGAATGTCACATCTCAAGAATGAATTCCAACTTTATAAGGCTTACTGGATGTGCAGCTCTCAACAATAGCAATTAATTTTAACAATGAACAGACCATCAAACTATGATCGAGCAACACAACATTTTTAAGCGTTTTTAATTTTGCAATTGTTACTTGTTAGCACCTGGCAATTTTTTGCTAATTCTGTGAGACAGATTTGCAGAACAACGATGCCAGAACCAATCACAAACAAGATCAAGCAATGGAATTTTGGATTAACTTCTTCCCCTACACAATATGTAAAAAAAATCCTTTGTCTTCTTCTGACTTCCTGTTCCAGTCTGTTGACTCTGTTAGAGGTTACAGTTATCATATAAGACTATTAGTATCAATGAAAAGTTTCCTTTAATTTTTCACACATCACTCAATTTTGACTTCACTGTTAGGGTTCTCACTAATTATGACATTATCAAAGTAGATGTACTAAAACACACACATATATAACTATACTCTTATTACACAATACACCATCACAGTGTGAAAGAAATGAAAAACTACTGGAAAATCGAATTTCATATTAAAATAAACGTCATTTTGATTGTTTTAATACTCACTAGTGGTATTCACACAATGAATCTTCGCTTCCACATTAATTAATTAGTGTTAACATATGGGTCTTTTGTATAATGTCAGCATCCAACAGAGCTTTATACAATATATTCAGGCTCGGCTATGGTTTAATTCTATGTATAAAATATCTATCATACGAGCAATTATTTTTATTTGTTTAATCCACTTTCACAATTGGCCCTATTGTAATGACCCGACACTAATAAAGGGAACTGGCCAATAACAAACGATAACGTGGCGAGTGGCATGTCACAGCTGTATAAAATTGAACGATTAAATTTACATACTGATCATCACTTCAGGAAAAAGACAAACAGTTAGATTCTTGATGCAGTAAATTTCAGGATCAGATCAGTTAAATAGGTGAATATAAATGAGAATTTTGTTTGCCGGTTCGACTCACCTTCATAGGCGCCGCCATCTTGAGTTTATAGCTCCCTAGCTATACCTCGGCTAATATCAACGTCGGAGTAAACGTGCGGATCGCCAAGTTGCGCATACAGAGTTACACTGATAAAAAAAAACAGTTACGACCGCAACTTTCAAAGTGGTGCGTTTTTGGTTGTCGTCTCGAAAGATAGTTAGATACTTGCGACGAATATTATTTCTAAACATATTGCAAATATTCGAATAGCTAGGTAGTCCACTTCATTTCCAGAGGCGGAAGTGTTGAACTTGCTTGTTTTCTGATGTAGACGGCTGGTCGGTATGCTTGTTGATTCGTTCTTATATTGGTGTTCAGCAAATACGACAGAATTAAGTTCTAGCGCCGATATTGCAAAATCAGCATCTGTCAATAAAAATCGCATTCTTAAATAAATAAGTATGTTCAGAATTTGAACAGGAACATTGATTGAATTTGAATGACACCATGTCCTCTGACAAGCTGCCAACCAAACTGATATCCACAGTTGAATGTAAACAGGGAGCAGTCCGCGCAGTGCGTTTTAATGTCGACGGTAACTACTGTTTGACTTGTGGTAGTGATAAATCTGTGAAACTCTGGAACCCTTACAATGGTGTATTGCTTAAATCTTACCAAGGGCATGGCTACGAAGTGCTCGACGCTGCGTCCTCTTGTGACAATAGCCAGTTTACGTCGTGTGGGGGAGACAAATGCGTTATTCTGTGGGATGTTGGCACTGGACAGATTTTGCGAAAATTTCGTGGTCACATCGGGAGAGTGAATTGTGTGAAGTTCAATGAAGAAGCAACAGTTGTTCTCTCAGGTATGTTGTCACTTTTTGTGCATCTCACTTGCTGTTTCCATGGAAACAAAACACTATAGCGTTAATCTTCATTCGAAAATAAGTGGAAATAAGGTACTTAACTTTATATATATTATGAAATTTTTACTTGACACAGAATTTTAAACTATTGTTACTTAATTTGAAAAATACACACAATAGAGAAATATATGGTCAACCAAAACATTATCAATCTGCCCATGTAGCTGTAAAAAGCAAAATTATGAGATCCCTGTCTTTTTAATTACTGGGCACGACATGGTGTGTATTCTCTTGCAAATGGTTTTGGACTTTCACACTGAGCTACATTTTTCTAATGCTAATGCAAATCTGTCATCTTAAAGCTATAAGGTACAGGGTGAGGGTACTGTAATTTCGCGGTATTTTACAGGGTATTTTCATCCTACCATATTAGAAAATGCAAATTCCAAATATAGAATGATTACGCGCGAAAGCATCCTCTAATAATAAAAACAAACATGGCTGCCACCAGAGTTTGATCGGACTCCACACAAAGAAATTCGCTGATTCTGTTCTAAACTTTTTGGATTTTGGCATTCCTATGATGTATCATTTGGAGGAAAAGATGTATAGTAATAATGTTATTACGAGGATACTGCAAAGTATTCATTCAGACAGTACGCCATCGCATCAACCTCCACTGCGCGTCGATCGATACTCTCGCTATACTGTCTTCGTGCATACTTTTTGATATCCTTGTAATAACCTCATAGTATTCACAAATAGTGTTGGTCACTGGTGTTTGCTTGCTAAGTTCAATTAGCAAAACCATTGGTACACTGAAGTACATGTATTAGGTAAACTAAAACTTAGTAGCAGTAGCGTTCATTTCACTGAATTTCCCTATTGTCTAATGAGGATTCACAGTGTAGTTCTTTAGTCGGTCAGTATACTGTGTGCTACAATCAGTAGAAAATTACCACAGGTCTACATTTCAAATTCAACAACAACTCTAGATACATAATTTTATTTTTCACCAACAGGTGCAATAGATTCTTCAGTTCGAACATGGGATTGTCGCTCCAGAAGACTAGAACCAATTCAAGTATTAGATGAAGCCAAAGACAGTGTGTCATCCATATCGGTGTCAGATCATGAGATATTAACTGGATCGGTGGATGGAAAGGTTAGAAGATATGACTTGAGAATGGGACAAATGTATGCGGATTGTGTCTCAAGTAAGTGGACTTTGATATGCCAGTCTGGTGAAAACTTGTATATTGAAAATGATCATTCCACTGGTTTGTTGTATTAATATTCAAATCTTTTAAAAAAATTTAAATACAAACTTCTGCCATAACACTGTTACCATCAGACTCAATTTTCCAGGCAATGTCCCATCACTTACAGTAGTTGCCATATTCATGTTTGTTAACTGTCCTCAACAGTATTTGTTTATATACACTGGAGAAACTTGGCAGTGATGGGTTGGACCAGTCTATATTCTAAACTTGTAATCAACAGAAATTGTTGTCACTGTTAAGTTGTTAACTTACATCAAACAATTGATCTTTTCTTTTCAAGTATTATTTCAATAATTGCTAAACCAAACAGCCATGTGGCCGAACATTGCTGCCCACTTACATACACAAATCAACCTTTGAATGTACACAGAGGTATGATATATAATTGTAATAGTGGAATGAATAAATAGAGAGGATTTCATCAATTCATCTCTGTACAAGGAATGGATTATATTCAACTGAAACAGAAGTAGAATAATACCGGTAGTTGTAGCTGAAAAAAATACTGTTTTACATGCGATGATCCTGTTAGTGAGTTCGCTACAAAACTGTATGAAAGACAAACTCAGAAATGGATCAAGGAGGAGGGGAATTCGCAATTCTATTCACAAATCAGCAACTTAGAATAAGTGCTTTCATCCCATCAAGTGAATGTGATGAAGCATTTGATGTGAAAGATATATATTTGTGTGTCTGCCTACTAATTACAGAAATTCTGTTACTTTTTAGGCAAAACCACACAAGCAAAATCAATCCAAGCTTCATAAATGGTGGGGTTGATTAACCACATTGCACAAAAACAAATCGGAATTCCTTGTGAAAACAATCTTTTGAGAGCCTTATTTTATATTCAAGTCACACATAAACAAATATGGTGATTAAGAAATAATCATCATGATATAAAAAAAAAAGAGCTCTGATAATACGAAGCATTTTATTTGTACATAAACATCATGTACAACCACATTCCTTTAGGTTTGGAGTTTGCTTTAATTGAAATAAGAACTTTTGTTTCTCACCGTGCAAATTCTAAACAGCTATACAATCACTGACCACATTCCATAGCTTTTCATTCAACTAGACGTATATCAGTCTTCCAGTTGTGCTTGTAAATTCTTGTGTGCACACATTGTATACTAATGCAAGTGAAATGTAAAATACACACTAGATGACCAGTTATTGACTGATTCTATTGATGTGTCTGTGTTAATGTAATAACATTTATCACATCACCATGACTACAATTCCTTGGTTTCTTGCTGCAAGCAGATTGATGGGTACCTGTGGCTGATTCCCTGGATTGCAGTGTTGTGAGACTGAAACTTGAGTTCATATTATCATGTGACGTTTCTCACACAATGCCCTATTAGACTATAATATACAAAACATTGCATGTGCTTTCATATATTATTATTATTTCAGAACATGTGACAAGTGTGAACTTCACCAAAGATGGACAGTGTACATTGGTGTCATCATTAGACAGCACAGTCAGGTTACTTGACAAAGACTCTGGGGAACTACTTGGTGAATACGCTGGACATAAAAACACAGAGTACAAAATTGACAGCTGCTTAACTAACACTGATACTCATATTGTTAGTGGATCAGAAGATGGTAAAATATATTTCTGGGATCTAGTGGAGGTGGGTAACAATAAAGATAAAACATTACAGTACTATTCATATCTTTAACTGTTGAACTTGTCAGCATTTTAGTCCTTGTAGATGGAACAATAGTATTTGAAGTGTGCTCCCTTCCCTGGCTCCATTGCCTTACTAATCTTGCATGTATCTGAAGTCATTGCGAAGCTACATAAAAAATGGTGCTATCAGTCAAACAAATCAGAGCAGCAAACAATGTTGGCATGTTTTTTCAACGTATTAAATTCCCCCTAGTATATATACTTTAACTCCACTGTGTATTCTGGAATTACTGCTTCAGATTTGTTGAAAAGTATCTATTTTTAGTAAATTTGTATGATTGTTCTTTTTGCTCAAAGACATGTGTAAAACATGTCTTTTAATCTACCGATAGCATGTTATTTTAGCGAATTCAATAAAGAATATTAATTAGAATAAAGTATATTCTCAGAGTGAGATTGTTGACACTTTAGCTAAATTAAGACTCTGTTAATTGAGTCAAATTTGCTAAAATAGCATGTAACTATTGCATCATGTTTTACAGTATGTGAAAGTGACATGCATGCAGCAATGATGTAGAATTTCTCTTGCAGGGTACCATAGTGGAGGCAGTGGATAAGGCAGGACGAGGTGCTGTCTACTCTCTCACATATCATTCAACTGATCCATGCCTCTTGACGGCATCCGAGACGTCGTTCAGAGTGTGGAAACCCCAGTCATATGAAGTTCCTGAATGAAGAGTTGATGTCTTGACATTGCTATAAGCATGTACCATGCTTTTTTTGACCAAAAAAAATGTAGGAATTGAATTTTCGAGTGGACCTCTACACGAGCCAGAAATTATGTGGAGCTGCATGAGTACACATTGAAACAATTTTTCTGATGGTCAGGTCTAAATATGTGATAATTGAGGACAAAGGCATTAATATAAATGCTACCAATTCATTTCGAAATATTTAGTAAATCTGGAAAAACTTCACAATTGACGTGCATGTTACTGACACAGAAACAGCAGTAGTTTCCACCATGTTTTCTAGACAGACCTGAAACTGTGTACCCGGTAGATCAATTTTTACATGGGCAATAAAATATGAATGGTGCATCAGTTGAGATTCTTGGCATTCAGAAATTTTCTCTGCATAAATTAACCAAAGTATGTGGGTCCTCAAGTGTTGAGACTGCACACTGAAACATCATGGGAGGAACAATATATCCCAGAAGACATCGACCTAAAACTCAACAACTCATACCAATTATAAACATACATTCTGAGTATAATACATCTCACAATTTTTAAATATATTCAGTGATTGAGTCCTGTCAACAACCTTTCACATATTTTGTTGTACAGAAAAAAAAAAAATTCCAAATGTAATGTGCTAGAGCTTTTATTATGCCATGCATGATGCTACTCCAGTCAAAGTTTCAAACATTGTTGCCAAGACATGCACAACTGTACACTTATCCATATGGGCTCTGCGCAAGCTGCTATGCAACACTGGTCAAGGAGCCAGTGAAAATAACTAAAGTTGAGTTGACATTGAGATGATTCTGAACCAAATTTATATACCGGTATGTTTATTTATACACTGTGCCAAAGCACAGTTTTTGACTCCTATGTGCGAAGCACATAATGAGAGTCTTTGCAGTTAGTGTGTCTGTGTCTGTGTCTGTGTGTGTGTGTGTATGTGTGTCCGACTGTTCCACTGCTATCTCAAGAACCATACATCGGTTTTTGATGAAACTTGGTGAATAGATGCTCTGGGCCAATGCGCAGATTTGATTAGGTTTTAGTAAAAATCCATGCTCGTTAATTACCTAATTTGCATGATAATTAGTTAATTTTTAGCTGTTCTATGACTGTTCCACTAATATCTAAAGAACCACTCATTGGATTTTGATGAAACTTTGTACATACATGCTCTGAACTCATGCTAGGTTTTGATTAGTTTTTGGTAATAATTCGTGGATACTAATTACCTAATTTGCATAATGATTAGTCAATTTTCGGTTTTTCCACTGATATCTCAAGTACTAATCATCACATTTCAATGAAACTTGGTAC